GGACGGAAGAATCCAATGCACCGCTACAGACTAGGGACCGAATGGCTAGGCAGCAGTTCTGCGGAAAAGGACCTAGGGGTGACAGTGGACGAGAAGCTGGATATGAGTCAGCAGTGTGCCCTTGTTGCCAAGAAGGCCAATGGCTTTTTGGGATGTATAAGTAGGGGCATAGCGAGCAGATCGAGGGACGTGATCGTTCCCCTCTATTCGATATTGGTGAGGCCTCATCTGGAGTACTGTGTCCAGTTTTGGGCCCTACACTACAAGAAGGATGTGGATAAATTGGAGAGAGTCCAGCGAAGGGCAACAAAAATGATTAGGGGTCTAGAACACATGACTTATGAGGAGAGGCTGAGGGAGCTGGGATTGTTTAGTCTGCAGAAGAGAAGAATGAGGGGGGATTTGATAGCTGCTTTCAACTACCTGAAAGGGGGTTCCAAAGAGGATGGCTCTAGACTGTTCTCAATGGTAGCAGATGACAGAACGAGGAGTAATGGTCTCAAGTTGCAGTGGGGGAGGTTTAGATTGGATATTAGGAAAAACTTTTTCAATAAGAGGGTGGTGAAACACTGGAATGCGTTACCTAGGGAGGTGGTAGAATCTCCTTCCTCAGAGGTTTTTAAGGTCAGGCTTGACAAAGCCCTGGCTGGGATGATTTAACTGGGAATTGGTCCTGCTTCAAGCAGGGGGTTGGACTAGATGACCTTCTGGGGTCCCTTCCAACCCTGATATTCTATGATTCTATGGAGTGTGGTATACAGAGTCCTCAGTCTACTTAATATGATGGAAAACACCATTAAGGATACTTTTTAACCTTTTTATTAAAGATACAGAAAAGAAAGAAACAGTTAAAAGTATTTCAAATGTGAAGTAGGTAAGGCTTTCCCATTAGCTGGAGAAAGGGTTTTTAGAATGAAAAACACCTGCACGCACTGCTGCCTGTCTCTTCAACGGTATTATAGATGATAGTCTCTCTCCTTTTGGGGAAAAGAGAATAAATTAAGTTGAAATGGGCTGCTGTTAATGTCTAATCCCATTTCCTAGAGGGTTCTATCTTTGCTGTTCCTGTGGAGCTTCTGTATCTGATATTGATTCTCACTTTCAACCACACTACTGGAAAAACCGGGGCACAGAACATGGTAGTCTCAGCCCCTTGGAGACATGGCAAACTTGTACCAGTGTTGGGCTGTTTAGGACCTTGCATTTAGCTAGCTGTTTGGTTGCAGTGTTGGAAAAGATGCAGTCTTGGCCAGCTAAGCCACTCTTATTGGACAGAAGGTAAAAGGGGGGAGAGAGGAAAATAAAGTAGTAAGGTAGAGAAGAAAAAGGACACATTGGTGGGTGGGGGATGGTGTTTGGGATTCAGCCCAGGCCAGTGGGATTGGCAATGTCATCAGGGTCTCTCTCTTCACCCAGGAAATTTCTTGGTGTCAGGATGACAAAGGTCCATTGATATTACAGTGGATCCCAGGAGATGGAGGGCAGTCAGCAATTGTCATGGTAGCCCATCTGTCGTCCATAAAATTTCCTCCCAAAGGCTTTCCCTTTAAAAACCATAAAAGGGATTGATGGGTGAAATAGCCTGCCCTCTTATTATTTTGTCCACCAAGTAGGTCTAATTTCCAACATATAAATTTTGGTTAATTGATTTCCAGTCCCACGCTTCTCTTGCCTACCAGGCATATTAACATAGTCCCTGAATTATATCAGTAGGTCTTTTTGTTTGGACTAATTGAGTCATTTAGCTTTAGCAGCTTATGTAGATTCCAAGGTCAGAAGGGACCATTATGATTAGTTAGCCTGACCTCCTGTATAACACAGGCCAGAGAACTGACCCAGAATAATTCCTAGAGCAGAGATGTTTACAAAAAACATCCAACTAGATTTTAAAATTGTCAGTGATGGAGAATCCACCCCGACCCTTGGTAAAATGTTCCAGTGGTTAATTACTCTGTTAGAAATTTACGGATTATTTCCAGTCTGAATTTGTCTAGTTTCACCTTCCAGCCATTGGATTGTGTTCTACTTTTCTCTGCTATTTTGAAGAACCCATTATTAAATGTTTGTTCCCCGTGTAGGTACCTAGAGTGTAATTAAGTCACCCCTTAACCTTCTTTTTGTTAAGCTAACACATTGAGCTCCTGGAGTCTATCACTATGAGGCATGTTTCCTAAGTTTTTAATCATTCTCGTGGCTCTTCTCTGAACCCTCTTCAGTTTATCAACATCCTTCTTGAAATGTGGACACCAGAACTAGACACAGAATTCCAGTAGTGGTCACACCAGTGCCAAATACAGAGGTAAAATAACCTCTCTGCTCCTACTCGAGATTTCCCTGTTTATGCATCCCAGGATTGCATTAGCCATTTTGGCCAAAGCATTGACTGAGTGCTCACAGTCTGCTGATTATCCACCACGCCCCGCCCCCCCCCCAGCCTTTTTCAGTCACTGCTTCCCAGGATAGAGAGTCCCCTATCCTATAAGTATGACCTACATACGTTGTTTCTAGATATATAGATTTACATTTAGCAGTAGTGAAATATGTATTATTTAGTTGTGCCCAGTTTACCAAGCAATCCAAATTGATCTGAATCAGTGACCTGTCATCTTCATTATCACTCCCCCAATTTTTGTGTCTTCTGCAAACTTTATCAGTGATGACTTTTGTCTTCTAGGTCACTGATTAAAATGTTAAGTAGCATAGGGTCAAGAACAGTTTCCTGTGGAACCCTACTGGAAACACAACAACTCGATGATGATTCCTTGTTCAGTTACATTTTTGAAAGCTATCAGTTAGTTAGTTTTTATTAATTTAATGTGTGCCATGTTAATTTTATTTTCAATCAAATGTCATGTGTTACCAAGTCAAACGTGCTTAATACAGAAAAGGCAAAAATTTCATTATTGATGATGATTCTACCGTGTCCACCTAATAGTGGACTGGGCCCATTGTCAGGATACTTTTGTTTCTAATATATTTTAAAACAAAACTCCTTCTTAAGGTCCTTAACTCTGCTTGCCGTAGATTTCTTCTTGTGTTCATTTGCTTCTCTTATCAATTTTCTACAGTTCCACACTTCTAATTTTATATTGATTTCTATCAGTTTCCCCTTTCTTCTGTTGTGTTTTTTTTTTTTAATAGCTGCCTTAATTTCCCCTCTAAACCACAGCTGGGTTTTTAACCAACTTGGCCGCCTTCCTCTATTGTGGCTTTTTAGGCATTTAGGAAGGTGTTTCTTAAATGATTCCCAATTATCATTTAAATTTTTCTGATTAAATACTTCCTCCCAGCTGATTTGGCTCTTAATTCCACAAAGCTAAAAATAACTTTCCCTGCTCTAGGAGAAACATCCAGTCACTCTGAAACTGAGGGCAGCATTTAGGGCTGTGGGTAGGATGTGGCCCTATAATGACCTTAATTAATTCTGTACCTGATAGGACTTCAAGCATGAGCAGCATCTTTGACTGCTCCATGTTCCTGCTTCAGAAATCTGCAGGACCCCTGGTGCAGTGGTGGGGGAAGGGTTAGTCAAGACAGGAGCCTACTGCAGCTGCCCTGCTGTGATGCAGAAGTGCTGCCCATGGAGAATTCAAGTTCTAGCATGCAGTACTCCATCCTGACTCTCATGGGAGGACCAGTCTATGGGAACTGGTGCAATCTGTGCCTCTGCAGAGCTGTAAGCATTGTCTGTTTGGCAGGTGAGCCCCATTCGGAACCTCTCTGATGGGCAGAAGTGCCGTGTGTGTTTCGCGTGGCTGGCCTGGCAGAATCCCCACATGCTCTTCCTGGATGAACCCACCAACCACTTGGATATAGAAACAATAGATGCCCTGGCAGATGCCATCAACGAGTTTGAGGGAGGAATGATGCTTGTCAGCCATGACTTCAGGCTCATCCAGCAGGTAAGGTGGGGGTGGGGTGTTTCATCAAGTACTTTTCTCAGCCAGTAAATTGGGAGTGGGGCATCTGACTCTATCAGACCCACTCTAGCTCAGCCAGATGTGATGGGCTGGATGCGTGAATTCCTGGGTGAGATTCTGTGGCCTGTTATGCTGACCACCTAATTTGGCGTAACAGCTATGAATGTGCTTAGCTGAGTTAGTGAACTGCTGGCAGCTGCTTGCCTGCTTTGGCTGGACAAAAAGGGGACAAGAGAGCCTGGGCCCCCCTGTGGGGTGGAGAGGGAATCCTCCACCTAGTGCCCCTGTGAGCAGAGCCGCACTAAGGACCAACTTCCTATGTTTTCAGGTTGCCCAAGAGATCTGGGTCTGCGAGAAGCAGACAATCACAAAGTGGCAGGGTGATATCCTCGCTTACAAGGAACATCTCAAGTCAAAACTAGTGGATGAGGAGCCCCAGCTCACCAAAAAGACCCACAACGTGTGAGTGCTGGGGGGGTCGGTCAGGTGCTCTTCCTAGAGACTGACACAGTGGCCAGCCTGACCCACCCTCCTGCTGACTGGAATCGACTCTGCTGCTATCTCTGTGGTTCTGTTCTAGCATTGCTGCAATATTGCTTCTCCTCGACCCCCGCCGTATCTCCACATCTGGACAAACCCTTCCCTTCTATTCCAACTGCACTCAGCCAACTGTATCCACAGCTGGATGGTGTCCCATCCTACATCAGACTTTCCACTCCAGTAGGCTGGAGTCATGGTGATGGCAGTAGGGAATCTGACTTGCAGTGATACAGAAGTGGAGACCCTAGCCCATCTTCTCACCCTTCACCCCCAACTTTCTGCTTCAGTTTAGAAACTTCACTTCAAACTCCTCAGGCCTTGATTTGTTTTTTAATGATTATTTAACAGTGTAATTACCAGATCTGCCTGAGAATCCATCAGTCAATAAAGAGGGAAGAATAGTCTCCTGCTTTCCTTCCTCTTCCTGTGAGGTGCACTGGGTGTGAGAGCGTGGAACTAGCTCTCAGTTAGTGCTGAGCTTCTTGGGTTTTAGTGCATGATACAGGGCCCCATCAGCACCCTGACCTGGACCTGGGGGAAATGCTGGAGTCTTTCCTACTGACACCAAATGCCCCCTGTTAGTAGAGAATAGTCTTCCAGTACAAATACGTACAATGGGGTGATGAGGCAACTATGGGTAACTGAGCTGCAGAGGCACTGAGGTGAGTCGATACAATAGTAACATTCATTTTAGGAGTGCAATAAATAAGAAATGTTAAATAAAAATCTACAAGTCTGTACTTTTCCAGGCCCCTTACATGCCTCTATCTTCTTACTGACTTAGCAGAATATGACACAATGCAGCTCTTTCAGTAAGTGAAGATCATGTTTCTTGGGCTGGGCAGTTCTCCCTTACTCATTGGGCTGAAAGGAAGCCAAAATCCAGTCTTTGGTGTTCTCAGTTTCTAGGAGGTTTTTAGAAGGAAATCAGTGCTTGTATCTCCTCAGCCCATGTATAGAGGCTGTGCCAATTTCCAGAATAGGCTAATACTCCATTTGCATGTATTTTGCACTGAGTGAAAGTCAAAAGTGAAGAAGTTAAAATCTTTACACCTGCAAAGTATACTTCCACCGTAGGTAGCTGTCTTGGTATTTGACATATCAGAATGTCATGTGGGACTAAAAATTAGCACTGCACAAAATCAATATGGCACACTCTAAATCAGCTAAACGGGATAAGAGATTTCCAGCTAGTTGTAAATACGGAATCGTCTAGTGTGGTCCTGCATTGAGCTGTTCTCAACCAGTGCTCTTTAATATCTGAATCAATGATCTAGAAGAAAATATAAAATCACTGCTGGCAAAATTTGCAGATGACAAAGATTTATGGGGTGATAATGATGGGGGACAAGTCAGTTGTACAACAGTATTTGAAATACACAGACAGCTGAATTTATCTAAACGGTGTTTCTATACAGCCAAATGCAAGGTCATACATTAGCAACAAAGAATGTAGGTCACATTTAACAGACTGGGGAGCTGTACCCTGAGAAGAAGTGACTCTGGAAAGGAGTTAAAAGGTTAGGGTGGAAACATGAGCTCCTAGGGTGTAGCTGTTCAGTTCTGGTGGCAACATTTCAAAACCAATGATTATGAATTGAAAAGTTGTCAGAAAAGTAGTACAAGAATGCTTTGAGGTCTGGAATACTTTCCTTAATGTGAGAGACTTCAAAAGCTCCATTTACTGAATTTGTGCAAGAGAAACTTAAGAGGTGACTTGATCATGGTCTACAAGATAGCGATGCTTTTTTAATCTAGCAGACAAAGGTAGAATGAGATTGAAAGGCTGGGAGCTGAAGCAAGACAGATTTTTACCAGGAAGGGCAACTAAGCATTAGAAGAACTCTAGGGGCTGTGGTGGATTCTCAGTTACATGGAGTCTAACAGACTTGCTGTAGCTCAACCAGATGTTCTGGGTGGGATGGAGGAATCCCTGGCTGAGATTCTCTCCCCTGGGCTAGGCAGGAGGCCAGCCTGGCTGGTCAGAATAGTCCCTTGTGCCCTTACTCTAGGAATTAAACTGGTCTGACTATACGACAGGTTTAAGGATTTATCGTGCTGAACACCCATCTTCAGAAGCCTGACTGTGGGGCCTCGGAAGCTTGGGGACCAATTGAAGTGGGTGGGGGGAAGAGAATGCTTTTAATTAACAAAAACAATATACAAATCTGACCCAATTATTCAGAATAACAGCCTGTGTCCCAGATGTATTGTGACTGGCTATGTTCAAAGGGTGAGCAACCACTCACGGCTCACTTGTGACTAAATATCGTATCTCAGCTGAAGCTCAAGCAGTGTGTGCGTCAGTTGTGCCTGTCCAGGGCTAGGGACAAACACAACCTGGCAGCAAAGGGCTGATTTGGACAGATGAACAATAATCACAAACTATCATGTGCACAAGGTGCTCTCATGGCTCCAGAGAGCCTCCTTGTGGCAGGCATTCCATGCTCACTGGCCAAGAACAAAGGGGCAGTAATGCCAGGCACACCTCATACTCTTCTGACCACTGCACAGCAGCTCCAGACATGCCAATCTTAACTCAGAGTTCAGTAAATTAATGGGAATAGATTATAAGGCTGGAAGGCACCGCTATGATCATCCAGTCTGGCCACCTGCATCATACAGGCCTTAGGAAGGGACCTCAAGATCCTCTAGTCCAGCCCCCTGGACCAAGCATACTTAAGCTGACCATCCCTGGCTTCCCTGCATTAATTCCTGTTTGAACTAGAGCATATCTTCTAGAAAAGCATCCACCTGATGGAGAATCCACCACAACCCTTGGCAAGTTGTTCCAAGGGTTAATAACCCTCTCAGTTAAAAATTTCCTTGTATGAATTTGTCTAGCTTCAGTTTCTATCCATTGAATCTTGTTATACCTTTGTTTGCTCAATGGAAGAACCCTTTGTCCAATTTCTGTTCTTCGTGTAGGTACTTACAGACTTTGATCAAGTCACCCCTTACATTTTTCTGGGTTAAACTAAATAGTTTGAGCTCCTTGGGTGAAATCCAAGAAGATACTTGGGCATTGCAATGTTGAGCATCACCGGGCCTAGGAAATCACAGGAACAACACTGCAATCCCCAAAGCCTGAGTTAGGTACGTAGCCTCCCTATATGATGAATAGGGAGAGATGGGAGCCTAAGAATGCAATCCCCTAAAGCCAGCATGAGAGGGAGGGAGATGCCAATGAGAAGGATGTGTACTAAGTCCATCCCTTCTCAGGCACCCATGTCCAGGCTGCAAGGAGTCTCCTGTCTCTGCTTAATGATCCATGAATCCTGCCCTTAGAGGCAGGTGGCTTAGTATCCCGAGTGTTTCCACACACAACAGCCAGAAGAGGAGATGGTGCCCATATAACTTTTAAGCCAGTGGTTAGAGCATTCAGATGGGATGGGGGGGAGCTGGGTTCAATTCCCCCTTCTTTGCCAGAGTTGGAGAAAGGATTTGAACAGGGGTCTCCCACCTCTCAAAAGAGTGCTTGGATAGGGAAGCTATAGGATATTCTGATGTGGGCTCCCTCAGCCACTCTCTTTGAAGCTGTTCCACTGTGGATTAAATCATTGAAGAGTGACTGGTGCAGGGGGACTGTACTTGGAGTCTCCCACCTCCCAGGGGGTGGGGTATGCCCTAACTACTGGACTGCAGAGTCATTCTCTCACTCTCTGGCCTTTTAACTACTAAGTATTATTCCACCGTATAATAGAACTATCACCACCTCTTCCTCCTGGATTTTGACTGGAATCCGATCCAGTAGGCAGCCTCTGAGCATGCCTACCGGATTAGGTCCTGCATGTGACTTTAGACAGCCAAATGGTTGTCTTGCCTGGGTTGTGAATCGCTCTGGGGCTTAAGTGGGAGACAGGCATCTGGACACCTAGAGGGGAGGCAGCAACACCTCACATGTCCAGAAATAGAAACATAGGTTGCGAAGAAACTTTTCAGGAATGGTCTAGATCAGTGGTTCTCAAACTTTTGTACTGGTGACCCCTTTCACATAGAAAGACTCTGAGTGCGACCCCTCATAAATTAAAAACACTTTTGATATGTTTAACACCATTGTAAATGCTGGAGGCAACGCGGGGTTTGGGGTGGAGGCTGACAGCTGGCGACCCCCCATGTAAGAACCTTGTGACCCCCCGAGTGGTCCAGACTCCCAGTTTGAGAACCCCTGGCCCTGCCATGAGTGCAGTGGAATGGACTAGCTGACTTCTCAAGGCCCTTCCACTCCTAGGACTCTGGGATTCTTGAACTATGGACGCCAGAACTGGAGGCAGTACTGCAGCAGTGGTTGCACCAGAGCCAAATACAGGGGTAGTGTAACCTTGCTCCTTTTACTCAGTATTCCCATTTCTACCTCCAAAGATCGCATGAGCCCTTTTGTGCACAGTGGTGGCCGGGGGCTCATGTTCAGTCGATTAGTCATCAGGACTCAACTCTTTTCCAGAGTCACCACTTCCCAGGATAGAGTCTGCCATTCTGCAAATACGGTCTTCATTCTTTGTTCCTAGCTGGGGAAGGACATTTGGCCAGATTAAAACACATATTGTTTGCTTGTGCCCAGTTTACCAAGTGGTCCAGATTGCTCCATCAGTGTCATCCCCTCTTCATTATTTACCTCTCCATCAGTGTTTGTGTCATCTGCCAACTTAACCAGGAATGATTTTGTTTTCTTCCAGGTCACTAATAAAAATATTAAATATCTTAGGGCCAAGAACTGATCCCTGCAGTACACCCCTAGAAACATAGCTGCTGGTTGATAATTCCCTGTTTAGTTACATTTTGAGATCTGTCACTTTGTCAATTTTTAATCCATTTAGTATGTGCCTGTGACACAGGGCTAGCTGTGTGTCACATCTGATCCACATGTGGCCTCTAGCCAAGCAGAGATCCTGACACTGACCAACTCTAATCTTGGGGTGACCCATCCACCAAGCTGGACACAGGGCCTGAATCCGATAGACTACTCTGAGCCTTAGGAACAGGCTCTGACTAACTAACCTCTCCCATCCCCATCAGAGATGGGGTCTGACAGTGATGTCTTTTGCTTACTGCTAGAGCCAGACTCTCATGTGCTTCCAACCCCTTTCCCAGCACTGTGCATTGACATTGATTCCTCCACCCAGGTGCAGATAGGAAGCCAGACATGGGACTGGCAGAAGTAGCATATTCATTAGCAAAAAGAAAAGGAGGACTTGTGGCACCTTAGAGACTAACACATTTATTTGAGCAGCATCTGATGAAGTGAGCTGTAGCTCACGAAAGCTTATGCTCAAATAAATGTGTTAGTCTCTAAGGTGCCACAAGTCCTCCTTTTCTTTTTGCAGATACAGACTAACACGGCTGCTACTCTGAAACCTGACATTCATTAGTGTTTGTTTGGATTTTCCTGGCTTCCCTCCTGCCCCCCATGGTGAGTGACGCTTGTATTTCCCTGGGGACATGCACTTTGATCCATCTCCCAGGGGATGGGCCAGGAATAAAATTCAATTCAGTGAGATGTTATTGGAAAGACAAGCTGTACAAGTGCTGCCAAAGTGTAAGAAAGAGCCAGACACCCACTTCACCTGCCCTTGGTCAGATGTGTGTGTAACTCTCCCAGGATGATGTCAGATACCATGTGTGGGGTGTAATCACATGTCTAGTCATTACCTTCTGTTCCTGACCTGGCGGCATGGGCTCCATAGCATGGGGCTCTCTGCTTATCTCTAGCACCCACGGGCAGGCACAGATTTCATTGATCACCCTTTTATGAGATGTCTTCTATGGTTCTTAATCATCTGAAGGAATCTCGCTCTCATCTGTGGGACGTTGGATAGAAAGCACCTCAGTCTCTCCTCCATCATGTTGGCTACACAGTCACTCCTCTCTGGGTTAAGACTGCTTTGTACCTCATCTCTACCACTAGTTTGTGGTCACTGATTCATCCCCAAGAGAGCTCCAGAGACATCCCCGCAGCCCTGCCTATCCCCCTGAGGGTGAAGGGATTCACACTGGCACCAAACACCAGTGGTGTCCATGGAGGCACTACTGCCATAGAGTTCACCCCAGTCTTTGCAATGTGTCCTCTTTTTGCAAGTGGGACATGACTCCAGAGAGGAGCCTGGGCTAGTTTGGATTGGGGATAGGGTCACGCTGGCTTGCAGGGGTCACCTCACTGCAATTGTTCAGCTATAGGGTCAATGTTTCATTATTGCACACATACTTTGGCACTAGCTGGTTCCAGCAGCTCTTGGGGGAAGGTTGGTTGGTCCCTCTGTTATGATTTACAATCTTCCCACTGAGCAGGGGTAGATCTAGGGGACACCTCTCCAACACCCTGTGCAGACCCATCCTGGTTCTGTTGAGGACAAACCCCCAATCTTTTGCCCTACGCTGGGCTGGCGGAACCTGGCTCTCTCTGAGAGGCTCAGGGCTCTGCCTTTGTTAGACTTTGGCAGTTTGCCAGGCCAATAAAATTTCATTGAACCAAATTAGTTTCCTCTAAGTTCCTCTCTGGGCTGGTGGGGCTCTCACCCAAGGAAGAATTGCTGGCTGGATCCACTCCGGGAGCTCCTCTGATGAGGTTCAACAAGAACAAGTGCAGAGTCCTGCACTTAGGATGGAAGAATCCCAGGCACTGCTACAGACTAGGAACTGAATGGCTCGGCAGCAGTTGTGCAGAAAAGGACCTAGGGGTTACAGTGGACGAGAAGCTGGATATGAGTCAACAGTGTGTCCTTGTTGCCAAGAAGGCTAATGGGATTTTGGGCTGAATAAGTAGGGGCTTTGCCAGCAAATTGAGGGACATGATCATTCCCCTGTATTGGACATTGGTGAGGCCTCATCTGGAGTACTGTGTCCAGTTTTGGGCCCCACACTACAAGAAGGATGTGGAAAAATTGGAAAGAGTCTAGCAGAGGGCAACAAAAATGATTAGGGGACTGGAACACATGACTTATGAGGAGCGGCTGAGGGAACTGGGATTGTTTAGTCTGCAGAAGAGAAGAATGAGGCGGGATTTGATAGCTGCTTTCAACTACCTGAAAGGGGGTTCCAAAGAGGATGGATCTAGACTGTTCTCAGTGGTAGTGGATGACAGAACGAGGAGTAATGGTCTCAGGTTGCGGTGGGGGAGGTTTAGGTTGGATGTTAGGAAAAACTTTTTCACTAGGAGGGTGGTGAAGCACTGGAATGGGTTACCTAGGGAGGTGGTGGAATCTCCTTCCTTAGAAGTTTTTAAGGTCAGGCTTGACAAAGCCCTGGCTGGGATGATTTAGTTGGGGATTGGTCCTGCTTTGAGCAGGGGGTTGGACTAGATGACCTCCTGAGGTCCCTTCCAACCCTGATATTTTATGATTGATCCTTAGTGGTCTCACCTGTGGCAGGTGATACCCTCACTATATAGCCATCTGTAGTGGTTTGCAGCCTGGCTTGTGATGTCTGGAGAGGTATCAAGAATGAGTGCAGAAGCTGGGAAGAAGCGAGGCCGAGCCCCTGCCTCTGGGGACAAGAAATCTAAGAGGAAGGTGAAGAGGAGGGAGACCTACTCAGTCTATATCTACAAAGTGCTGAAACAGGTGAGTGAGGGGCTTATCCCACCTGGCTATTCATAGAATCATAGAATATCAGGGTTGGAAGGGACCTCAGGAGGTCATCTAGTCCAACCCCCTGCTCAAAAGCAGGACCCATCCCCAATTAAATCATCCCAGCCAGGGCTTTGTCAAGCCTGACCTTAAAAACTTCTAAGGAAGGAGATTCCACCACCTTCCTAATCAATTCTAGCCATTATGTTGTTACCCCTACAGGTGGGGTGGGATTCCCAGAAGGAGACTGTGTGTGTGTGTGTCTGTGTTAATGTGAGTGTATCTGCTTCTGAGCGTGTGTGTCTGATTCCAACCTCCTTAGGTCTCTGGGTGGTCTGAGCTAACTGAGGGGAGGCACTGAAGAGGGGCATAGGACCTGCAAGATCCTAAGGGGTGGCCTATCCTAGCCCTCACCTGGGACCTAGGACAGGATTGTTGCTAGTAGCCCCGGTGCTACCACCCCTCCTGTATGCAAATATTCCTGGTCTGACTCAATCACTCTTTGACCAATGCCTCTCTCTAGTGTCTTAACACACAAACTCCACTCCTTCTGGGCTTAGTCATCGTTTGTCAATTACACCTGTTCCTAGGCAGTCCATTAGCTCCCCCAGTCAGTCAGTAGCTCTGAAATCAGTGGGCCACAGATAAGTGCAGGGTTCCTGTGTTGTCCTCCCAGAGTCCTAGCGACAAGGGCTGTCCTTCCCCCATGCCAGGATGTGAGAGGCACATACAGCCAGGGTGGGAAGCACCAGTACTGGGCTCTTGAGCAACCTAGAGAAATACTCTACATAAAGTTGGGGGAGGGAGTTGGCAGCTGCTATGGCCCTGCTGGGTTCCCATGGCAAAGTCCTGCTTGATGGCTCTGATCCCTAGCTCTGCAGGCTAGTGCAGAGTGAACTGGGGGAAGTAGGTAGTAGCCAAGGGCTCCCCTCCCCAATATCTAGTGGGGTTGTGCTGACACCTGTGTGATGAGTATGCTATTGCTCACCCCCTGAGCAGGGGGCTGCACGGTGTGCAGTCTATATGAAACACCCACCATCACCACCTGCTGTCCCCAATCCCAAGATGGGTGACCTCTGTGGCAGAGACTGCCTGCAGCACCAGGCTGGGACTGGCCGACTGCCGGCACATTTCATTAGGGTGTGCACCCAGGGAATTTTATTTATTTTTAAAGGTGAACATTTATTGAATACTCATTGTAAAGGACATTATTTTTATTCATCAAACAAACTAAAGAAACTAAAAATTAAATTTAATGTTTTTTAAATTAACAACTAAACTTTACTTAAAAAATACAAACTTAAAAAATGAGACCCAAAATAACAAATTTTTCTGTAGTGATAACCAGGCGTAGACAACTGTAAAGTCAATTTTCATGATCTTTATCTTTAACCAGATAATGAGCTAACCCAAATTGACCAAAACAGATTAAGGCTTCTTCATCTTCCTGTCCTAGAGAATGAGAGGTTGCTCACCAGGTGTTAAGGATTTAAATTCCTCAATCACCTCCCTGTAATTAACTGACAAAGCCAATTCTTGCTCAATGTACAAAATCGTGAGGGATTTGAAGTGCTGTTGGGACACTGTACTTCCGTGCCACTCGCCTGAGGCCGGACTGGAGTTGTCTTGGCTTATGACCAGTCCGTCTGGAGCCCGGAGTCGTGCCCTCCTTAGGGTCACAGGCCCTTATTGCTTCTCCTGTCAGCTGCCTTCACGGGTCCAGAAATGCCCCGTCTGCCTGCTGTGCCCTGCTGTCCGTCCCTTTCCTGCAGCTCCCCTGGGGCAAGGGAAGGGCCGGAGGCAGGCCCGGGGTGGAGCTAGTTACCACCCCGTCTCGCACGCTTCTTTCCGGCCAGGTTCACCCTGACACGGGCATCTCCTCGAAGGCCATGAGCATCATGAACTCCTTCGTGAACGACGTCTTCGAGCGCATCGCCACGGAGGCCTCCCGCCTCGCACAATACAACAAGCGCTCCACCATCACCAGCCGCGAGGTTCAGACTGCCGTCCGCCTGCTACTGCCGGGGGAGCTGGCCAAGCATGCCGTGTCCGAGGGCACCAAAGCGGTCACCAAGTACACCAGCAGCAAGTGACCGCCAGGCCAGCGTGCAGGGCGCCGGTGGCTCTGTCCCTGCCCCCGGAATAAAGCTGACACCCTCTACGGGAGCAGTGCGAGTCTGACTCCGCCATCGCCCGGGGCTGCCCCCGCCCCAGCCGGGCATGGGCTGCAGGGCCGTGGGACAAGGGCCGCGAGGGGATCCTGGGGGGTGGGCTGGGGCCACAGGGGGGCGAGGGCAGCAGCCGCCCCGCCGGGAGCATTGTGGGGGCCCGGGCTGTGTGGGGGCCCGGGCTGTGTGGGGGCCCGGGCTGTGCGGGGGCCGGGGCGCTGCCTGCAGGGGCCTGCTCGGCCCCTCTCCGCTACATGTGGCGGGGCAGCGATGAGCCTTCCGCCATCTCCACGGCAACAGCCCGCGCAATGGGGGGCGGGGTTGGGTCTCCGGGGCAACGGAAGAACCCCCTGTGCGGGGCAGCCCCGGGGGCGGCGTGGAACGGGCGTGGGCGCCATGTCCAGCCGGTGAGGCCTGGCGTAGGGGGCTGGGGGAAGCCTGGGCCGCCCCTTGGCCCCGGGCCTGGTGTGGTGTGGGGCGGCGGGGGGAGTTAGGGCAGTGTGTGGGCACTGCAGGGGGGTCTGAGGGGCACAGGGGTATTGTGGGGTGTGGGCACTGGGGCAATGGGGGGGTCTGAGGGGCACAGGGGTATTGTGCGGGGAGATCAGTACATCATGAGGGGCGTGGGCACCAGGGTGATGGGGTGGAGGTTTGGTGAAGGACAGAAAGAAGCAGTCTGACTTTGGGCTCCTGGAGGGGAGGCGGGCGCTCTAAGCTGGGTTGCAATTGGGGGTTGGGGGGCTGGTAGTGCCCATCCATACACAGACATTACCCCAAATCACTGAAGCTGTAAATTATACCTGCTGCAGTTATGTGCAGTCCCTGTGCAAACAGCCCATGGGCCCCAGGGATGGGGCCGTTCCACTGGAGGGAGGACAAGGGGGTAGTTAGGCCCCAGCATTGTGGGCTTTGGCCACATCTGCAGCCCCCTGGCCCTGAGAAGATGTCCTGCTCTCTAGCACCTACACGAGGATGTGGCTCGAGTCCCAGGCTGCCCTAAAGGAGCTGCTGGCCCAGGAGCTGCCGTCTCAGCCCCCACAGCCTGAGAAGGACCAGAAGCTATTCTTCCACATGCTAGCCACCCTGTTCCTGCGCTACACACAGATCCTGCGCTGCCTGGAGGCCTGCTATGACCAGATGGTGCATCCGCAGAAGCGCCGGGTGCTAGAGCACATGCTCGATGGGGTGATGGGCCGGGTGCTGGAGCTCAAGAATGAGATGGTGGAGACTGAGCTCTCTGAGTATCACTACATGGATGACGTGCTGCAGGACCTCAAGCTCACCCCAGTGAGAGGGGCCAGGGGTGAAGGGGGGCGGGGCCCTTGGGCTGCATGGGGCCTAGGGGCGGTGCCCTTGGGGTGCAGCATCTTGATATAAGATGTGCAGTGAACTGGCCTTGGGATGGGGGGATGCTGTGTCGTGGGGTGGGAGTGGGGCAGTGTCCGGGTGTGCTGTCCTAGCCTGGGTGCCCAGTGTTGTTGGGGTGCACTGAGCCACTGCCGTCCCACACCAGTAATGTTGGTTGGCTGCAGGATGGGAAGGCAAAGGTGCAGTGTTGGAGCACTGAGCTAGCTCTGGGTGAGGGAGGGGCAGTGTCATGGGGGGCACTGTAGTGGCGTGGGGAGGGGCAGTGTGGGTGGGGTGCTCCATACTGGTGTCGTGTAGGGGTGGCACATTGCTGGCGTGGGATAGCAGTGTCATTAGGGTGTATTGTTCTGGGGTGGGGTAATCTCTGCAACACGCTCCCTCCCCCCACAGAGAGGAAGCATTGTAGGGCAGATACTGACTCCAGTGCATTGTCTGGCTGGGGACGTATCTTTGAAGAGGGGTGGCTTGTGCTGACATGTGGCAAAGAATGTGAAGAGAAGATGTTTCGATTGCTAATACTGTATCCCAGTCCTAGGAGTCTGGATAATATGGAAGAGGAAATGGAATTTTTCACCGTTGAGAAGAAATGTTATAATTGGTATATGGTAGCTCAAGTGTGAGCTGCATTTGTGATCTCTCCCTGGACGCTCTGCCTGTCACTTGCAAAATCTGCCAGAATGGAAATCATGGGGTAACCTACCTTTAGACTAGGTCACCCCCGTTTCCACCTCCCTGTTGTGGTTACAGGGTGAGCAATGTCTTACACCTCCTCTGGAATCTCTCTTGAGTGCGCCCCTCAGGTGACTGGTTCTGCTTCCTCCCCTCTGTCTCCGGGGGTGGGGGTGCCTGCAGTTCTACCCCTCAGACTGGATCCTGGTGTCACAGCCCCCTTCTTTCCAAACATGTCATGACTGGCCCAGCTGCAGTTGGTACATGCAAGACAGTCCTCTCAGTGCCTGTAACCTGCTGGTGTTTAAAGTGACTCAACAGCTTCTTCCAGACAGATGCATTGTCCATTCGCCCAAAGATACACAGCAAGCAGAAGAATGGGCAAACCACCTGAGGTCCACATAATCCAGCGTGTAGTGGTGTTTGAGCAGTCTGGAGAGTGACTCCAGCACCTGAAAGCCATGATGGAATGGTGCTCCGGCACAACACCTGGCACATGGTGTCACAGCACCACTCATATTTGGCCCATCTGTCCCTCCGTCATGAGGATGGAAGGATGGCTGAGCCAAATATAGTTGGGGATTGGCCCTGCTTTGAGCAGGGGGTTGGACTAGATGACTTCCTGAGGTCCCTTCCAACCTTGATATTCTATGAAATATGAGTGGAGTTCAACCAGGCATAGAATCATAGAATATCAGGGTTGGAAGGGACCTCAGGAGGTCATCTAGTCCAACCCCCTGCTCAAGCCAGGACCAATCCCCAACTAAATCATCCCAGCCAGGGCTTTGTCAAGCCTCACCTTAAAAATATCTAAGGAAGGAGATTCCACCACCTCCTTGGTAACGCGTTCCAGTGCTTCACCACCCTCCTAGTGAAAAAGATTTTCCTAATATCCAACCTGAACCTCCCCCACTGCAACTTGAGACCATTACTCCTTGTTCTGTCATCTGCTACCAGTGAGAACAGTCTAGAGCCATCCTCTTTAGAACCCCCTTTCAGATAGTTGAAAGCAGCTATCAAATCCCCTCTCATTCTTCTGTTCTGTAGACTAAATAATCCCAGTTCCCTCAGCCTCGCCTCATAAATCATGTGTTCCAGTCCCCTAATCATTTTTGTTGCCCTCCGCTGGACGTCTTCCAATTTTTCCACATCCTTCTTGTAGCGTGGGGCCCAAAACTGGACACAGTACTCCAGATGAGGCCTCACCAATGTCAAATAGAGGGGAACGATCACGTCCCTCGATCTGCTGGCAATGCCCCTACATATACATCCCAAAATGCCATTGGCCTTCTTGGCAACAAGGGCACGCTATTGACTCATTCAGCTTCTTGTCCACTGTAACCCCTAGGTCCTTTTCTGCAGAACTGCTGCTGAGCCATTCGGTCCCTAGTCTGTAGCGGTGCATGGGATTCTTCCATCCTAAGTGCAGGACTCTGCACTTGTCCTTGTTGAACCTCATCAGATTTCTTTTGGCCCAATCCTCTAATTTGTCTGGGTCCCTCTGTATTCTATCTACCTCTCCTCCCAGTTTAGTGTCATTTGTGAACTTGCTGAGGGTGCAATTAATCCCATCATCCAGATCATTAATAAAGATGTTGAACAAAACTGTCCCCAGGACCAGCCCTTGGAGCACTCCACTTGATACTGGCTGCCAACTAGACATCGAGCCATTGATCACTTCCCATTGAGCTCGACAATCTAGCCAGCTTTCTATCCACCTTTAGTCCATTCATCCAGCCCATACTTCTTTAACTTGCTGGCTAAAGTACTGTGGGAGCCAGTGTCAAAAGCTTTGCTAAAGTCAAGGAACAACACGTCCACTGCTTTCCCCTCATCCACAGAGCCAGTTATCTCATCAAAGAAGGCAATTAGATTAGTCAGGCATGACTTGCCCTTAGTGAATGCCCTTGAAGGTCTACAACAGTGGTCAGCAAACTTCAGCATGTGGCCCTCAGGGTAACCAGCTGGCGGGCCACGAGACATTTTGTCTACATTGACAGTCCGCAGGCAATGGTGCCCTGCAGCTCCCAGTGGCTGCGGTTTGCCGTTCCCGGCCAATGGGAGCTGTGGGAAGCGGCGGCCAGCATATCCCTGTGGCCTGCGCTCCTGATTTTAAGATTCCAGTCATGTGACATGTCCCACCAGGTTTCAGTAATGCTATGGAGAACAGTGAAATCTGTACTGTTTGGATGAACATTATATGTAACACAGTCTCCTGGCCTGATGTTATTCTGGGTGACTGCATGGAGCTGAATCAAAGGAGGCTGTAAAGGGGAACAAACTGGAAAGGAAACAATGACCGAGATAATGCATCTCCAGTGATAATGGCAAGGGTCCTTAAGGGAAAAATGGGTGAACAGGTAACTGGAAAATAACCTGGCTGAGGGACAGGAAGGTAGGTAACAGGCCTATTTTCCCAAGACTAGAGCCTAAAGCGAAAAGAACCCTGCCTCAAGGTGAGCAGGACCCAGCAGCTTGGAGAGAAAAACTGCAGGAGATACAGCCTTCTGACAGCTCTGCCTACATAAGGAAGGCAGGGCCTTTAGGGATGTGGCTGAGGCAGCTGGGCTCACCTGACCTTTGAGAAAGGTGCTGAGCTGTAGGTAAGACCCATCATGTAGTGCTAAATTTTAATAGTGCAAGAGGCCTGCAGAAATGATAGGACTCATGTTGATAATTCTGTCGTGTAAAACAGATTTTGGAGACTCGTGTGTGTGGTAACACCATAAGATAAAACACTCGTATTCAAAAGCTAACTAACATTATCAGAAAATTTTACCTAACTGAAAATCTGCACAACAGCAATGATGAGGATTTACATGATGGGTATTTATTACTAATGTGGTATCAACAAACTGCATGCTGAACTTTAAAACAAAGTAGCAAGGCACAGCCAAAGATGGCTTGGATAATATCAACTTTTCCATACATCACAATTAAGCGATGGCCTTCTCATTTGATTTATTGTCAGGGTTAATCACAGAAACGAAGGAATCTGTTTTCTAAGCTTGCCCAGAAGCAGCAAAGATCCGCTGTTAACACCTGGCAAGAAGAGGGGCCAGCGCTACCGGCTAGATAGCTTTGAAATCTTTAAGATAAACACAGAGCAGCAACTACAATTGACAAGAAGTAGATTTGCGGCCACGGGCAACAGGCAAGCAAGCGTCTGAGCTCTCAAGCCGCTTTGTTTCATAGACACTTTGTCCCTCTGAAACAGCAACACAGAATGACAGGCCCCATTGGCTCTCAGAACAAACCCCTGCTCTGCTCCTGTGCTGACCAGGGACTGCTCAGCAAACCACCCCCATCTCACGCATAGCCAGCCATAGACCCCTGAATGCCCCACTCATTCCTCAGCAACCCTCCACCACCACCACCCATCTCATCAGCCCTGATGCACACCCCAGCCCCAACACTTCGGCCCCACTGTCCACAGCTCCCAACTCCAGCACCCCAAAGCACCTTCACCCTGTAGTCCCCTACCATTCCCCACTCACCCTATAGCCCCCAAGCCCCTCGCCCACCACCCATAGGACATAGCTAGCCACTCACTGCCTGGACCTGTGGTGGAGTACTCCGCTCCCAATCCAGAGCGGTGGCTCCTGACTCTGGCTGACCAACGGCTCCACTCTCTCCCATCGCCCAGCTGTACCCACATGATGTGGGCCACATTGAAGAGAAAAGTGGTGTCATGACCAGGCACACAGGAGTGCAGCACTACCCAGGTGTGGCCCAGGTAGCTGCTCATCCATCATGATGGAGGGCCAAACCTGAGTGGCACTGGAATCCAATAAGCCTGGTTGCAACGCTCACACTTGGACCCCTGTCCCCATCCCCAAATGTCAGACAGGAGCCACTCAGTCAAACCCCAGCAATGTTGCAGCCTCCCATGCCACAGTATTCTTGCCAGCAAGTTAAAGAAGTATGGGCTGGATGAATGAACGATAAGGTGGCTAGATTGTCAGGCTCAACGGGTAGTAATCAATGGCTCCATGTCTAGTTGGCAGCCGGTATCAAGTGGAGTGCCCCAAGGGTCGGTCCTGGGGCCGGTTTTGTTCAATATCTTCATTAATGATCTGGAGGATGGCGTGGATTGCACCCTCAGCAAGTTTGCAGATGACACTAAACTGGGAGGAGAGGGAGATACGCTGAAGAGAAAAGTGGTGTCATGACCAGGCACACAGGAGTGCAGCACTACTCAGATGTGGCCCAGGTAGCTGCTCATCCATCATGATGGAGGCCAAACCTGA